CCCAGCCAGCTGTATCAGCGTCTACATGTGCAGAGCAGCAGAACAAAATGCAAGTATTACTCTGCTGTGAAATTACTTAGTGAGGCCTAATAAGGCCACATGTAGATGGCAAACATTCATAGATAATTAGTAGGGGTGTGCAAAATGGGCCGTATTCAATTTAGATTCAGATTCGGCCTGAATTGAGGATAGTGATTCAATTAGTTGATTCAGATCGCTGTCCTGATTCAATTTCACTGAATCCGAATCTGAAGATTTGATGCTGATTCAGAGAATCAGAGATTTGGTCATAGCCACAACTTTAAATGTCTGTACCAGGCATGGCTCATGAATTCTGCAATGGTGGGGCAGATGGAGCATCTGTCAAGAGTGGGGTGGAGGCCCCCGTGTGCTTGGCGGCGAACCCAGAAGCAGACCGGAAGTACTTCCAGTCCACTTCTGGGTCCACAGCTGAGCACGCAGAGGACCACCCCCCACACCCCTTAGCTCAGTGATTGGTCACAGGGGGACCCTGGGTACCCTCCCAGACCCAGGAGGCACCACCCGCCAAGCTGGGGGGTTGGGGGGCACCCTGCACACTCCTCAGCAGACCCCAAAGTGGACCAGAAGTGCTTCTGGTCCACTTCCAGGTCTGCTTCCAAGCATGCTTGGGAACCCCCCATGCTTCTGTGGGATGCTCCATCTTCCCCAGCATCTCAGCATTCATGAGCTTCCTGGTACCTTGAGGTATGTAGAAAAAAATATAAAGCTGTGTCTATGTCTGAATCAGCAAATCTGTCTGAATCTCTCCAAATCAATTCAGAGGGTTCCGATTTGATTCAGAGAGATTAAAGGGTTTCCTGATTTGATTTGGATTTGGAGATTTGGCTGCTGAATTGGGCCGAATCTCCACTGAATCAAATCAGTGACTGAGGTTTTGCACAGCCCTACTAATTAGTCTACTTTGCAGTAAACACCTTGTATAGATGTGCCCAGTTAAAACTAGGAGCTGGCATTTTCCAACAGGTGCTTTCAGTCAAACAAAGGATACCTTCAGTCTAAAAAGGTTTAGAACCACTGCTTTAGCTTCTACCTACATTCTCCTCTATATTCCTATACATTGTATGTTGGCCCATGCCCTTCTGCTTCCTTTGACTGCTTTCCAGCCTGGCTTAATGTCCTATATATAGGATTATTGTATTAGAGGCTAAAAAAACACAGGAAACAGAGCCATTAACTTGAACTTGGGGAGAAGCCACATTTCCTGCAAGATCCAAGACTCTGTATTAAATATTTGTGAGGTCCAGTGATAATTCATGAGTTAATTAACTTTTCCTTGTCTAATCAAATGCCTTGTTTTCACCAGGATTCTGCAGTGAAAGAGCTAATGAATGTTAGTTAACCTACAGTCAAAAATGCAATTTTTCATTAAGCATTGACAGGGATTAGACCAGCTACTCAATCTGCTCTGAGATGGGTACAAGAGAGATTACTACAATTGTACTGTCAACATCATACTCCTAGTTCACAGTTTCTGAGCATAAATGGGATATTTCTAGTGGTACCAGTTTTGATATTTATCACAAATGGGACAGGAAAATATGGAACCAAAGGCCATATCTCTTTAGATATCCTCCTATACCTAAATGTTAGTGTGAGCCAGTCCTCCAAAGCAGATCCCAAACCTCCAGAAGGATATGTGAAAATCCTCTGAGTATGTTCTCCCCAGAGCTGATCTGTTCAACAGTATCTAGGTTGGTTCAGAGTTATTTTGGAGATTTAGGGTCATAGGAAAGTGGAGCTGGCAGGGACCTCATAAGGTCATCTAGTCTAGCCTCCAGCTCATGGAAGGATTATCCCTGACCAAACCATCTGAGCCAAATGTCTGTCTAACCTTCTTTTAAAAATGTCCAGGGCTGGAGATGTGCAGTGGTGTGATGGTCTTTCTCCCTATTTCCTGGCTTCATACTAAATTTGTACCTTATAAAAACATTTTGGAGTCCTCAGAACATCTGATATTTTTTCCCTGGTCAAAAAAGTTTGCTTTGGGTTTCAAAAATTTGGCCTAGGTTCTCTTAACACACTATTCAAAAGCTTTCAAATTTCAGCTCATCTTCACTGAGTCTTCGCAAAGTTTTAATTATAATATGTAATTGTAGCTTTTTACACTGAGCCAAACCTTGCTTATCTTCTAAACTTAACTCCTATTGATATCCATTCAAATGTTTAGCTGAGCTTTTAGTCATATCAAAGACTACTTTGGTGAGTAAGCAGAGAAAGATTTAGCCCATGTGCTATGATCTGTTATGGAAAGTGGTTCTTAAATTCACAAATAATGCTAGGCAAATACTCAAAAATGTTACAAAAACACAGTTTCCTCCAAGTCTATGTTTTGAAGTAAATCTACATAGATGTCAAGGTTTTGTGGTGGTGCTGTTGTCAACTTGTCTTTTATGGATCAATAGTGAAATGGAAACTTTCTTTGTTGGGTTTTCTCATTCTATTTGTGTTGAGCTCAGGGGGCAGGAGTGAGGGAGGAGGGTCATGCTATCACTGTGTATTTAAGCTGCTTGCAATTACCCTCAACCCCTGCAAAGCATGTCACAGCAGTATAGTATTTATTCCCTGCCACAATGAAAGCCACTGTCTTATGCATCCCAACAGGAGTCCAGGTATAATGCCATGCTTATAAAGAATATGAGGGCACAATATAGGGATAACATATTTAAACATCACATTACTACACCTTTGAGTATAACTTTTTCCAGTCCAGATTTTCTACTCAGAAGTTGAGCTGCATGGGTCCTCGGCAGGTTGCTGAAGTGAAAATTATATTTGTCTACTACCTATTATTTTCTTAACACAATGTTCATCCTATATAATATTATTTGGAAGGATTATTAACCTTAACCTCACAGTTTCAAGGGCACTTCAATAAATATTGTCCACTTAGTTCTGGTTAAGTAGATAATTTTTCTGAAGGTTTTAAAAAACACCACAAGCTATTACAATATTATTACATAAACTTAAAAATAAACCTTCATGCAACCAAAAGTTGTCTGGTTATATTTAATTAAATGGATAAGCCTTCATGCCTTATAAATGTAGGACTGACATTAAAATTGTCAACGTGTTCTTTATCATTTTATAGCAAAATTATTTTTTAAATTTGCAAATATCAGTACCATACAATTGAAACATTTATAGTATACTTTAATTCAGGTTTTAAATCACACTATCATTTTTCTACCTTCAGTCCCACCAGCTTCCTTCCTTTGAGGGCTGTGAAGAAGATAATTAAAAAAATGTTAACAAATTAGTGGTAGAGTCCAGTAAAATAATTGCAGTGCATTTTCTTTTGCATTCTTTCCTTAATCTCTTCTCTTTTTAGCACAGATTTTCAAAAATGAATTACAGTGCCTGGTTTCTTGGATAGGCAGCTTGAGACACCTTTATAATTATTATTTTTTAAACAGCTGAATAAAATCATGAGACCCATGAACAAGTTTTTTTAAGTGATTTCAAATTGAGTGCCCCAAATGTTTATTCACTTTTGAAAGTCTTGGCTTCTAGGAAATGAGATAAGCTTATTGTCATGAACACTTCTGGTTTCTCTTGCCAGAAATCCCTTTACATAATACAATGTGATGCATTGCCTCCCCAGGCTGTCTGTGGTTTAATAGATGATCAGGTAGAAGGGTTGTGCAATGCTAAATACTCTTTCTAATTCACTTGGAGATACAGTATCTGTTAATGATTCCATCTCAGCAGACTAACAAATTCGTATCAATGTCAGCTCCCACTTGATTAATTAATGTGCATAAGACAACTGATCATGGGAATTCTCTACCCTTTTTCCCAGTGCACATTCCGCACAATTAGTCATAGTCACTCAAAGGCTTCATATGATGAAGTCAGCAAAATGACATTTAGCAGGGAGTTAAATACTGGATCAGACAAACAAGGTTGGTTGAAGACAATATCCATGAGAGAAATGCCAAATAATCATCAATTTTTAAAATAAAATCCTTGTTTCAGCGGCTTGTTTAATGGGTAGCACCACTAGTAAGTTAACATTTAAGTAAATGTTATTACAATTTTGTTATTACTTAATGATTTTGACCTTTAACTCCTGTCACTAATTGCTAAATAGCACTTGCTCATCTTCATCATTATGCTTAATTTAAATTCATTTAACAATTTAGAATTACAAGTTGTAACTTTTTGCGGTACATTTGTTTCTTTTCTAAATCTTTATGCTTAAATACAGGATGTAATACTCAAGGTCTATACTTAACAGCTATTTTGATAGTTGTGATGGTCGCGCTTAGGATGCCTCTTCGAACCCTCTTATAATCTCCCAGGGAACTATAGGTACTCTGACTTTCCTGCCTGCCACGTCTTGGATGTTGTTATTATATGTTCTAATTTATGATGTCACTAGTTGGGAGGGTTATTATATATAGTTCGGTGGGGGGTTGTTTGTTTGTTTGTTGGGGGGGGGTTGCCTCTGTTAGGGGTTCTGGTATTATAGAGGAATACCTCACTCACCTTCTCAACTATTCACATGAACTCACCGATATATATATATTCACAGTCTGATTCAGATTAACACATGCCTTTATTTTTATCTTTTATCACTCTATACAAACTTTATTTACTTTTAGGCAGAAGTTGTCCATTTATATCCTTTTCCTTTTCTTTAGCCTTATCAGTCATATTGATTTTGTAATTCTATCTATATAATGTTTTTATGTAACTGCTATCAATTTGGTTGGACTGAACTTAGTATTAGAAAATGAAGTCTCTTTCTCTCTTGTTCGTCTGTTTATCTTTTTTGAGCAGGTTTTTATCTTCAGACCCCACCATAGACTTTCTCTTTATTTTGTTGCTATAAGTGTGTACCTTTTATCCTGTGTGTGCCTGAAGCCTTGAATCCTCATGACAGACAACCAGATGCTGTCTCTAAGCTTGAGAGAGTGGGTCAATTCACTCTCTTCTTTTTTTTGTTTACTTTCCAGGGGAGCAGCCAGACTTGCCCCGTGATGTCTCCTTGGGGATCCACTCCTCTTCCTTGGAGCTCCGCTCTCTCTGGTGTCATGAGAAGTCTTGAGGTAAGTCTCTTATCCCCTGGGGATCCTCTATCTTCCTCTTGTTCTCTTTCAGCCCCTCTCTCTTTTTCTTTTTAAACTCTCATCTCCTCTCTTTTTTTGGCTCTTGGAGCTTCCATCCTAATATGGTAATGGCTCCGGAAGCAGCATTCTGCAGCTTTTTTCTACAAGTCGGTGTTTACTCTTTCACAATAGTGCAAAACTATTTACATAGATTTTGGAAGTCTGGTGTTGGGAGTAGGTGCTGTAAGGTTTTGGCCCTCTTTGGCTTGGTGTTTTCCCAGAGAATGATGGCAAGGTGAGGAGAGGTTGTCACTATCCCCCAGATACTCTGTGATGTTGTTCTTTTCTTTCCTGCCATGACTGTGATCTTTCTTTTTAAATATGGAGGTAGTGGTTCCATGGAGTGATAGGTCTTGGCCAGTTAGGGGAATCTCATTGTGGGGCTCCACCTCTCTTATACCCCATCTGTACCGCTTCCCAGATGTTCCTTAATTCAGGTGCTTCCTGGATCTTTTTCCCTTGGGGACTGACCCCCTACATCCCAATTGTGGGCCCTCCCTAGGTGAGCAGGGTCTGGGTCTGGTATATCCCATGCTGTCATTCACACCCAGCTTGTCTGTTTCTCTAATGGACTAACAGCCTCCATGTAAGGTCACTTGAGTCAGTCTATGCAACTTGTCCATCATATCCCTGGGGTACACTAGCCACCATCCATCTCACATTTGGGGGCTGACGCCCCATATAAATTTGTTAGTGCATTCACAAGTAAGCTTATTTCAGTCTGCCCCTTTAGCCTGGGGATAACCCCCACTTTTTGCCAGGACACTATGACTGTCCAAAACTGGATCTGGAAGGAAAACAAAATGAACTTAACTATTCTCTTGCATCTTTTGCACCTTTCCCCCCTTTTTATCAATTCATTCACAGGTCTTCACCCCAAACAAGGTAAAGAAAAATCTACTCAAACCTATTCCTGTCTTCCAATTGGGGATGATTCTCCAGCATCAGTTTACACTGTCAGTCCCTTCCCTGGCCCAATCAATTTCCATGGACAGGTGCTGCCTCAGGTTGCCACATTTCCAGGAGGCAGGGATCCCAAGCTGTATACTCTCCTCAAGTCCTCAGGTAACTGCTTGGTATGGATCTTTGCTCCTGTACCTGGCAAGCAGGCCCCACAGACTGTTGGGGATTACAGCATTCATGGGTGGTCCTCTGCCCATATGTGCCAGTTGCTGCATACCCTCCTCATGCAGTTAGCTGCTGGCCAGTGCCAGCCAGAGAATCCTCCTGCATCTTCCCTCCACAGATGCTGCTGTCTCTCTCCAGCAGCCCCTCTTTAGAGTTGGAAGTCTTGTTCCAATCTTCCCAAATGCCAGTCTGAACAGAGCATGAACCCTGGAAGTGTGTCGGGGTGCTCTGAGCTCTGGCTGTTTCTTTTCATGCCTGCAGTAAGCAGAGGATGATTATCACCCTTGAGCTTCCCCTCATCCCCAGAGCTTCTCTTTTTACATCTGGTTACCATGGCTGTGAACATGCATTTCCTCAGGGACCTTTTGCCACTGCTACTTGTCCCCAGGGAATGCCTGGTACAAAGCAGGTTACCCCATGTGGGATAGGGGAGGCTGAGGCCAGCAACTGTGCTGGCCCCAGAAGCTTTACCTGGGGGATCTGGGGGTCTTGGGGAGCTGCAACCACAGTGCTCCTGCAGCAGGGAGCCTGGTTGCTACCATGTGCACTGCCCTGCTTTTTTTTTGGCATAGGCTTTTTTGACCCCAGGATCACCCAGAGTCAGAATGACCCCCCACACTGCATAGAAGCAGCATGGGTAATGCCTCCATGTGTGGAGTGTGGTGCTGCAGGTGGGTCTGCAGTGCCACATACCTCATATCCACATTCATCTGGATGCAGCCCATGTGTCTATGTAACATCAGGGTACAATAATGGCAACTCTAGCTATGGTTGAAAGTTAGTACTGCGGGTTCCACTAGAATTAGAAATGTATTCTATATTCAACATCTGGAAGATAGTGTTAATAGGAAGAAAGTAACTTTTGATGTGGAAGGACATGTGGACTTCTACCTGGTTTCATTCTTTTCTCTTATATTACTCAGCATTTACCAAGGCCAATGGGAGAAGTGATGATACTACTTACTTGGGCTAAAGTACCAATAGCATTCAGCTAAAAACTTATAAGTCTGAAACTAGACCATGGTCAACAGATGACTAAAGTGAAAATTCAGCCAAGATTAGGGTAAAACAAATAGGAAAATAGAAGCACTATGAGCAACTCATATTTTCTCTATGACATTCTCCTGTTAAGGACATGAGCCTCAAATCACTGACAGCTGACAGACTTCTGTAGTTTCAATCCAGTCTTTACTCATATAATCACATTGACAAAAATACTTGCTCTCTATGCTCATCTTTCTGTTAGATTCAATCATGACTGTAGATGTTCAGGCATTTATGATCTTACTGCTTGAATTTTAGAAATCCTATCAGGATGATGCCAGCTGTACAAAATTCATCAGCTTGTGGGCTTCAAAACACAAGGTCAATGAGTGAGTTATCCTCCGATGCTCTGTTCCTTGTACTGGCTCCCTATAATAGAGTCCAGCTGAGGGTCTCTATCTTGCATCTGAAGGTGTCTATAGAACTGGAATGAGAGGCTACCTCAGAAATTACCTTTCTTTCCAGGATTATGATGTTCCATGCTACAATGCAATGAAATCATGACACTGTCAACAAAGGACAAAGATCATAAGTGTAGAAGACTGATCTCTCCTGAGAGGTAGACCTACTTTCTGGAACTTTTTTCTGTAAGAATGGTTATCATAGGCCTGTATTAAAAGAAAGATTCATTTTTTTTAAAACTCAGCTTGTCCTTAACAAATGGTGGAGACTAAAGGGCTAAGTCACACAACAAGATTTTGACAAACTGTGGAGAGAGAGAGAGAAGAAGAAGAAGGATGGAAATTCTATTGAAACTAAATAGTACTATTTAGTTGGTCTAATAAAAGATATCACACCTACCCAAAGAACCTTGCCTGCCTATGTCCTTAGACCAATATGACTACAACCAACAACCCTAAAAATGGATCTTACATTTATCTTTTAACACAAGCTTATGGTAACCATTCTTATAGAAATAGCTCTGTGAAGGAGATCTACTTCCCAGGACAGATCAGTCTTCTACACTTTCAAACTTGATCTTTGCCCTTTGTTGACAGTGTTATGATTCCACTGTGTTGTAGCATGGACTGTCATATGATTAAAAGCATCATTTATAGGCATGTATATACTTAGAAAGAGTAGTGATTTGAATAAACTTTTTGGTAAATATTTTACAAATTTTAAAAAGATTAACCACATTCATATGCTTATTTCTGTAACTGGAGTCCAGGGAATGTCATGGCTCTGTGAAGATTGCTCTCTCTTAAGAAGAAAATCAGGGTACTTCTACACCACTGAAGGACTCTGCCAAAGAATGCTTCAGGAAAACAAAGCATGCCCCCTTCACCCCAAAACAAATGTGATATAGTTACCTTTGGTACATGGCCAACTTCATGCTGAGGTGGTTACATTGCATCTATTTCAGGATGTGGAGCAGGCATGCTGTTCTTCACAGTGGTGCTCCCTAGCATGGTATTTTGATGGTACAGACATGCTATAGTGTTTTGTTCAAAAATGCAAGTCATGTAGTGTGTGAGAAGCACACGTAAATATAGGTTCAAGCGCCCAGTTTTGCCCAGAAGATGAAACAGGAAGTGTGAGTGAGGGAATTAGGAAGGAATCTTTCCTATTTCCTCAGTCTTTTTCACTGAAAATGAATGTGGATGACAGTGGCATAACTAGGGTGGGGTGACTGGGACAGCCACCCTGGGTGCCAACTTATGGGAGGAGGTGGCAGCAGCTGGAAGTTACCACTGCTTTCAAGTTTGGCAGATGCCCCAGGTGCCTGGCCACATTGTTACACCTCTGATGGGTGGAATTTGCATAACACAAGCCAGGGAGAGAGAAGCTGCAGTTTGCACTAAAGCAGCAGAGCATGGTGAGTCCCGTTTACAGATTGTTTAAACACCCCCCACCCTCCTCCAAACTTCTGGATGAAGGTGAAATCAAGAAACCTTCCACTTGAGAAAGCTATAAATACTTTGTCATGATGGGTATTACAAATTGAGCCATTTATATAAAAGAAATTAACTAGAGATTACATAATATAAATATGTGTGTGTATATATAGGGTAGCTAACATCATTTAATAGCTTCTATTTACCCTTTTGTCACAATTAAAAAAAAAAAAAGCCACAGGCAATGAAATTGAGAGAGCAATTTAAAAATGAGAAAAAAACCTAACAGTTGGATAAAAAATACCTTGTCATCCCAAGTAACCACTGTCAAGGACTCGAGAGCCAAAAGCTTAGTATGACACAAGAATAAATTAGATACTTATATATGAATAAGGATATAATCAGCCATTACACTAGCCAAATTAAAAATCCACAAGCCAATCACTAGATGGATTGATGCATCCATAGATTTTTGCAAAAGTTCTCCTTATGAAACTTTTTTGTTTTCCATCCATCTAATACTGCTAGATTCTGAAACAGATAGTCTGTTAGCCTGATTCAGTATCACAATTCCTGTGAAAGCAATAAGCTGCCATGCCACTGTGAGGACAGGTTCAATTTGTGATGTTTGGGGTGATAGCACTCTGGTTTGAAGATAAACAGAAGCTGTGCATATTATATAACTAATCTTTTAACAGTAGGCAACCAAATAGTTGAGCACCTGGTCCTGTGTTTTGTTGTTTTTTGCAAATTCTATGATTCATTTGGCATTTGGACTAAACAGCATGATTATTATATTATTTCTCTATTAATCTGTGCAATCACTACATTTGTGCTCAGGCTTTGCTGACACCATGGTTTATAAACCCCTGACTTAAAATGACTCATAAATGTTAAGTCTGCTCCTGTCTGCTGAAGTCAGATATGGTT